ACCAAATAAAGGTGCTTTTGATTGTTAAACAAATTCTCCTTGTCAGCACCTCAGGAAATGTATAGAAAACAGTATGGAGAATATGCATACTGATATCAGGGAGTAAAGGGTTAACAGGAGTTGACTGTTAGTGTATGGTGTTTTGTGGGGTATACTGTACACCAATGTATTTAATTGTTTGTCTCCCTGAAGCAACAATAATTATAATATGATCCGATAAAAATGATGAAAAAAGTTGTTCTTAATTGTAAATTTAAATTTCTCTTATTTTTAGGTTTGACCTTTGGTGCCAAACATTATTTGACTGGAAATCGTGAGGGTCATCTGATGTTGTACAAACTTGACCAGTTCCCTCAAGGAGCTATTAGTCCTGTATCTTTTCTTTGGAGACAAATAATAAAAACAGATGCCACAACAATCACTGAGAATATGCAACACAGAGAAAAGGATGAACTGATCCAGCATACTGTTGATAGTGACAATGTAACATACAGTCACAGCTTGGAAGCAAACAATGAAATGCATATCAAGGCAAATAAGTGTCAGTTGTGGATATGGTGTCATCCTGCAAGTTTCAGTTCCGTTTTTGAGGCAATAAGTGAAGCTTGTAGGTCTGTTGGAAGAACTTCAGTTGAAAAGGAAAGGTGTTTTCCTGTTGCCCCAGATAAAGATGAGACTCCAGTCCAAGAAACTCAAAGATGTAATTTTGTTAATGATTTTGAGCACCCAGAGTTAAGGGTTATGTCTCGTCAATATGATTTACTACGGTTACGTCTAACAGGACCAGAATCACACGCACTGCTGACAAACACTTTAGAGATATCTTGTAGTACATCACAAAAACACTTTGAAAACAAAAGTGACAAGAATTCGCAATATAATTCAACATTTATCAAAGACAAGGGTGATCATAAAGGATCTTCAAAGTGGCAGCAGCATGTACTAAACAACCCAAGTAATTCAACAGCTCAAAGTTCATTATGGGAGAAATTAAAGAAGGCCTCTTCAACATCAGCCCTTCCTTCTGGATGTATCATTGGTTTGACTGTTCATGATCCTCGCCTTTACCTTCCTGGAAAGAAAAAAAACATCATGCATTCCACTGAAGATATTGATTTTGGTAATAATTATCTTCCATCACATGAGTAACACTATACACTGGTATAGTGTTACCAGATGTTAGATGGTAACACATGAGTAACACTATACACTATTAAAGATTGAGGACCCATGAGGGGTTTATATTTGGTTCAGAAAGTTGTTTTTGTTTTTAAGTATGTTAATGTGCAGAAAATTAATGAAAAGTATGCAAGGAAACTCACAAAAAATTCTAACCTAGAGTAAAAAGATTTTATAGCAGAATATTTTGATGAGGAATATAATTCAGGAAACTTTTATACATACATCTCTAAAAATGTTCTTTGTTACGTTGCATATTTTCCTCCGAGTTTTTAACTGACATTCTATATTTACAGACGATTTAGACTATTGTGATGAAAGTACGTCTGCACCTAGTGAGTTGATGAGCAAAGTAGATACAACCATGAGCAAGCAGTCATCTTTTGAACATCTTGTCACCAACTGGCCAACTGATGTAGCAAGCTCCCACATCTGGGAGGAGGCAGTTCGTCAGGAAGTAAAAGAAACCAAAATATCTGAGCAGGATTTGAACCAAAAGAGATCCTTGCTCCTAGTTCCAGGCTCCCAGCTGGATTTGAGACCAGATGAGATTTCCCACATTCCTTTGCTTCTCATACAACAACCAGGAAGTCCAGGTTAGCTTTAGGGGACCATAGCCCCATCAAAATAAAGACCCAAATCCCCAAACAGGGTGTGGTTTGGCCCTGTTAGAAAAGGATAAAAATCACTGCATTTGAATAAATCATTGAAACGTTCAGCTCAATTTGAAGTGCAGTGTTTTTCAATATGTTCCAAAATCATCGATTTTCATTCTTTGTATCAACGCCATCATGATGATTTTGACTTTCAACCTTGAGTGTAAAGGTTGAAATATAGTAAAAGAGAAAAAAAAGAGTACTTTGAGCTGAAGTTTCTTATTCTTATGCCTTAAATCTTTACGCAATGCCTTATACATCTTGCAGGTGACTGTAGAGATGGTGCTGGATACCGGAGTGGCTGGGACATTATCCTTCCCAGTGGATGGGCCATGGCATTCTGGATGGCCTTTGTCTATAGGGGTGCAAGAACTGGGGGACTCAGAGAGAGCCAAACGTTAGCCCTTGAGCAAGGAATGCCGTTCTTCCCAAATGATTTCCCAGACACCCCTGCGGGAGAGGCGTACTATGAGAAGTTGAAAGAAGACGGCGAGGCCCAGTACGGCCGATACCCTCCAGCGAAAAGACCTAATTACGACAAACTAGGTATCAAGTCGCCCTTTTGTCCGCCTTGGAAAGAACTTGTCGAGGACTGGAGTTTGTCTGAGGCTGATCCTGGAGGTAAGGCAGTCGAATCCACCGAGACTACTGACAGCAATAACAAATGCAACACAACAAATGTCGAGTCGTCTTCGAAGGATGTCTCACTTTGCAGGTCTGTTCACGTGTTGCGATCTCGCTCTAAACTGGCTGCTTTGCGGAACTTTGTTTTGCGATGTAAGGCAAAACAGACTAAAGGTATAGACTTCAAGCATTCGGTCAAAACAACTAAATTGCCTTTACCGATGAATAATGATTTGTCTGCCATCTTGAAAGACGATGCCAATTCTCTGGTATGCGTGCTTGTGCGGATGGTCGGTCGAAACGTTCCTGTACCCAACTCCACCTTAGCAATTCCTTCTGAAGAGGATGTTACAGGACTCACGAAATGTAAGAACACCTCCGGCCCTGTGGAACCTCTGCACAAAGGTGCACTGGCTCGCACATCTGAGAAATCTTTAAGGAACTTTTGCACGAGAGAAATCATGGGATTTGTTTCATCCGGACAGTTCTCCCTTGCCCGTGGATGTGGGTTTGGGGTAGGATTCTGTGCTCTACCGGGTCTTGCAAAATTACTATCTTCCACAAGCAACAAAGGAGAAGTTGTGGTGTTAGTGAGGAGTCCAACTACTCAACAGTATAGATTTGCCCATTTGACCATAATGTAGTCTAAATTCTTTCGGTGTTTACGCTGAACACAGTTGTATTTAATTTACAACTAACTGAACCGCTCAAAGCCTCATTGCGTTTGAGTTACTTCGTCTTACTTGAAACGAAGTTCAGCTAAGTACCACATTTATCTCTTCAACGTTAATCTTTACATGCTTATCCATTTGTTAACTCGTCTAAACGAGTGATGTGTTTTCTCTTTAATTCCGTATCAGTAAAGTTAAACTCTCAGAGCTCTTGTTGATATCAACTGCTTAAGAGTCAGAATGGAAGAAATAAAGACCTCTTGGTTCTTGAAACACTAATATACGTTTTCGTTTCTTGTCATAAATGAGTGTTGAACATTAGTTTGAAAAAAAACAAAAACAAAAAAAACAATGCGGGTGCTCTTTTTTTTCTGACCCACCACGCTGAATTGCAGAAGAAAACTAGGAATAGAATGAGAAGGATGGTAAATTTTGAGCTCGGTAAAGAAATAGCTAGAGATTTTGTTTCGTCTTGTCATTAGCGTGGTACAAAGAAGAAATTCTGAGTTCCCGAGCGGAATCGAACCTTCAGATTCCGGAATCTTTACAAATCACGAGCTACAAGGCAGTGACTTGTAGTTTGTTGTTATCGGAGAGAGGTATTGCTCGACCTCGCAATTCTTTACCACTAAGGGCGTGGGATATTTGAGTCACGGACTACCCAGTCTCATTGACAAGTCTTATATGAAAGGTGTCACCAGCAGTCGACAATATTTAATACCGAACCTGAGGCGAATAATTGTTTTAGTATAATTTCAGAGCTGAACAACTAAGAAATTTCTAAAATCATAACATTTTAGTAACATTTCTTAACATTTTATTTAACATTTTATATAAACCGCGCGGAGCGGTTTATATAGCGTCATAAGGAGCCGCTCGACCAATCAGATTGCTGGAAACTCTTTGCTCAGCTCTGAAATTATACTAAAGCGTCATATAAGGAACCGCTCGACCAATCAGATTGCTGGAAACTCTTTGCTCAGCTCTGAAATTATACTAAATATAAATTTAACTCTCTTAACGATAGACCCAAAACGAGATCATGTCGCTATACATATACAGGTGAAAATATGATATTGCAATGCAATTTTGTTTGAACAGAATGAGTAAAGAGCCAAGCCTAAAGTTTACCCACCGTTGCGAAGTGGCCTTTCGTTGTGAAATTGATATGCTATATTAAAAGTGGTGCGCATGCTCAAGAGAAGATTAGACTGAGAGGCTAACGACTTCATTCCTCAAAAAATAACTTTACGAAGATCCTCTCGGGATAGAGGCCCATAGGGAAATCTCGATGATTTCGTCTTGTGATTCTCTCTTGAAATAATACCATGCCAAAGCCGTGAGAGTCATCGATAAATATATCTTATTAACCAAGAGCGAGGGCCGTACTGGGAGAATTTCGGCCCGAGGTCTTGACAGCACGGTCCGAGCGCAGAAAGGTCTGTACAAAAAAGACCAAGGGCCGATATTCTTCCAGTACGTTCCCGAGCAAGCTTGGTTACTAAGGGATTTATTACACGACTGAAGTTCAAAGGGACACAAGTGCGGTATCATTCGGGACCATTCGGGACAGTGCCCGGTCCAATACTGAGAGAATATTGACCGGCAATAGAGCATTTTGATTGGTTGATTTCAATTATTGGCCCTCTGGCTGCCCGAGTCGTGTAATAATACTAACTACTGTAAGTACAGGTAAATTTGTTTGACGATCTCTTGATATTTCTTTCATCTCCTGCAGTAAGGAAACCCGCTATAACCGCGGCCAATCATGTTAGGTCGGGCATACGCACAGTTCGCCGATCGCGAATGGCTGACAGCCTGTTTTTATAGCTCGCAGGCTGTCGCAGTTGCATGATAATGCACCGCCGTTAAATCGAGTTGTAAGGATAAATGCAGAACGAAGGCAGAATTGCGAGGTAGATTCTTTCAGGAAAAAGCTGCGTTGTCCAAAATCCTGTATGAAATCTTGTGTGATATCAATTGGTTTTACATCCAGAAGGGATGGTGAGAAGGACGAGATTGGAACCAATAACACGTAATCCTGTAAGAAAAAGTGTAAAAATTCAGCCTGTTCTTAAAAAATCGTTTATAATAGTAAGTCCACTACACCATACAACTAAAAATTGAAAGAGTCGCTTTCGTGTTTTACTCAAGAGTCATTCTCATTATTCATAAAGGGAGGCACCCAACTCTCCCTATCACTTACTTCATTTGGACCTAATCTTCATTGAAACCTGTATTGAACTGACGTATATTCAGTATTATGGCCACAATCAAAACTTTCGCTTCGCAAAAACTTCAAAATGAGCCTGTGCTCAGCGAGGATTGCTTTGGTTTTGTTTCAATTCTTTGAATAAAGAGACTAAACAACTTCCACTATTTTGTCAACCAATCAAAATCAATCCCCAAACCAATCCGGACTAAGCTATAAGTCACACGCGATTTCTCCATGCTATGAGCAGTTTGCTTGATTTCACAATAAACTCCCATTAGCTCCTTGGGATGTTTTCCTTCTCTCTAATTGGCCGTTTCGATAACTTTGGTTTCGATTTTAAACTCTTAATTGAATTGTGCTCTAAGTAGCAACTAGTGAAATAAATTTCTCTGAGAAAGAGGGACTGCTCGTGGGTTATATGGAAATACTCCTTGACACTTAGTGTCACAGTCACCATACTAAGCACTGGATGTTGTGAGTCACTCTCCTCTAAGATCGTTGCGACTGTTCAGTGATACATAGTTCCGCTTAAAAACACATTAACACTATAGACTGTAACATAGACTGTATAATTGTCGAAAACACCAGGGAGGAGTCACATGCGACTACTTACAATCCATACACCTTTGTCTTCAGGAATGGCTATACTGACAAGTATGTCGTTCTGTCGCCCAACGTAGATGGATTCACGCATACCCTCCCTGTACTGTGAGGTACCTATGGCTCTACAGCCCGACACGTGGGGACAGTAACGGAAAGTCAGCAGCGTGGATGCAGCGTTCTGTCCACTGATTACAACTTTTCCCAGGAAGGGGAGGAAGTTCGGTTGATAGAAATGCACAATGACGTAATAGCGACCAGTTGGCGCTTTTCCATTGATGTGAACAGTTTTCTACAAGTAGAAATGAGTTTATCCTTTCACTGACATTACCACTTTATCAGAGAGTCGACAGGATCTGATCAGATGTGAACGCTCAATATCTGTGTAGTCTGCGTAAGTGGCAGAATTATTACCTCCAGTAAAGATGTAAAACGCTTTGAAGTTTCAAAGGAATATTAGTTCAGTTAGCGATAAAGCAGACACAGTGAGGGCCTCTCTTCCTAACTTTCTCCGCGTTTACTCGCGACGTCTTTGACACACTTCAATTCGGATTTGTAGCCAACTTGCCCCCCTGCAGAGAATCTCTTCACGACAGCGTAAAAAAAACTTTAAGTGTGCATGTGGACTTCCTCTTGTCTGAAAACCTTGCATCATTTATTACATTCGTTTCGCTTTCAAAATTTGTGAAGAACGGAACGGCTCTGAATCTTTTTACCTCTATATTTGAATACTAATGTATTCCACCATAAAGATATTATGTCACAATCCAGTGTAACATTCTCCCAATATCTGTCTTTTGAAAGCATTACCTCGCCCACTTTCAGATGCTTCAGTCTCGCCCTTCTGTCCATGATGTAGTAAGGGGCTCTATCGCCACCGTTCAACTTGCCTTCAGCCTCTATCTTCACGGCATCTTTGGGAATAAAATAAGTTGACTGTATGCATGAGAAACCGTTACTGATACACTGTGCTGCTGGTAGCAAGAGCTTCTGAGTCCATTCGGCGAGAGGAACAGCTGTAATAAATAAATTCCTAAAGGAAACAATAAATCAATTCTCTACAGACAATACAATACAATAGTCTATTGACACTCCCCTGGGGCTTTTCGGTGACAATGCAATTAAAAACCATATAAACATACCTACTTTAGAATTAATCATATAATTAACAATTATTTCACTCGCGCTTGTTGGATATGAGATGATAGATATCCAACGAGGCGCGTAGCGCCGAGTTGGCTATAATCATTGTTTTATTAAAAAAAAAACGTCAAATTAAATTATTAAATTTTATTAAATTTTATTAAATTTTAGCTCCCTTTTAATTTTAAGCTGACACGTACGCTTGCCATATTTGTAGATTATGGTATATTGGCTGATATACCATAACCTACAATCGAGACTTGGTCGTTTTTTATTTGCGTTCTCATTTGCTCTCTAATAAATTTGACGTTGATCTGACAAGTCGCTGTTAGTTTTCGTTTTACGACACTTAGCCTAAAAGTACCCTTGTAAATCAGCATGCGCAAGGGCAAGTTCTGCTTAACCAACCAACTCACCTGTCACACTGGTTCCCACCGATACCCGGTAAGCATGGGCATTTTCCTGTAATTTAGTTACAAGACGGGCTAATACAACCACCTGCATAACATGAAAAACCAGTAACATCGTCAAAACAAAGAGTGCGTGACGCAATGATTCCTTAATTAAGCGGGCGAAAAACAGAGACTGTCTGGGATACGGTGCGGTTTTCTTGCCTCACCTTTCTCTGCTAATCGTGGAGGAAAACTTATGCGCGAGGCGCCATTCTAGACTAAAATAATGACAACACTGAAGTCTACAGCCGTAGTCGGTAGGATTCGAACCTGCGCGGGGTGACCCCAATGGATTTCTAGTCCATCGCCTTAACCACTCGGCCACAACTACATTATGTTACAAGCATATTTTTATGAGCAAGTCGGAGAGAAGTGTTTCGTTCTTAATAGCTTCAGATACTTTCATCGTCTTGGGGTGTACTTCAACTGAATATCTAAAAAACCCTTGTTCTTGGCTTGCTTGCTTTTTATCATCATTATTTTTCATCTTTCTCGATCACAATGTTGAAACAAACACCTACATGGAGAAAAGCAGTTTCTTAATACTTGAGAAATTCGCATTTATTCCTTTTTGGTTTCCTCTATTCCGAGCCGAAACGACAAAATGAAATGTCCTCGACATGAGGCCCAAATCGGTGTCTCAAAAGTAAATACTAAACGACTGTCAACAGCAGAGTGGCGCAGTGGAAGCGTGCTGGGCCCATAACCCAGAGGTCCGAGGATCAAAACCTCGCTCTGCTAATAGCCTTCTATTTTTTTTTTTCTCAATATTAAATAGATACTTTTTAGTTTCAAATTATTTGGGAGGGAGGTAGGCCCTGTCTTCTAAAAGGGTGCGTGTAGGCACGGCTCCCAGACACAGATGGACT